CTGGAACAAGCTGATACAGAATACATATGTCATACTGTCAAACACTGTCATGTATTACATGAAATCTACATATTTTAGATGTCTGATGCATATTTTTAGAATTTAATATGGACTTGTATAGGGCACATTTATCCAAAATGCTTTACATTTTGCCTTTTGTTCATCCATTCGCACACACTCATAACAGTATATAAAGCAGTTAAGTGTCTCACCCAAGGACACTCTGGAGGACACACAGGAGCCGGGGAGCAAACAACCATGAGCCAGCTGGTGTCTCTGGGTACTTTGGGACCTTGGCTTGTAAATTTGCACAATACAACATGTTTGAAGTGAATTATATATATTTCTGAAAGAAGCGTTCAAAAATAATTTTATTTATTACGTTATAGTCATGTTACGTTTTATGTGCATTTTATTCATTTCTTATTTTATCCCACTTGGGGGCACTCGAGATCTATTTGTATCTTCTACAAAAGGCAGCCAGCTTACAGTTGCCTGTTCACCAGACTGAGGAGTTACAGGAAATCACATGGTTGCCTGGTTGTGCCATGAAAATGAGATAAACACTTGGGGTGCTGTTGCTCTTACAAACGCTCTTCATCACAACTCTATTTTTAGTAAACTATGTCCCTCTCCTGCCACGCTGCTACACTCCTGAGGTTGTGGGAATCTGACAGTTGTGTTGTGAGCTTAAACCTCTGAGTCACTGTTATTTAACTATTGATAAGACATTGTGGTGAGAAAGACTGTAACTGAATTCAACTTGCCATTTTCTGTCCCTGTTGAAGAGTATATGAACAAGATAATGAAGTCTCTGTTATTTTTAATCTTCTGCTAAAATATACAGATCTTTTGTGAATCTGTCTCTTTGTTAAAATTCACGTGGCCCTCTGACTTCAGATGTTACTGTCACCTCTGCACTTAAAAGCATGTGGTTTCGTGTGGATCTACACTCTCCACCAGACTTCCCACAACACAAAACCCACACTTCAAAACTGAAAATACTGGTACATAACACTGTTGCATAACAATGCTGCTTATAACTACTTCTCCAACCATGGTGGTTAATGTGGCTGGGGTGTTTTAGTTTTAATTTTTATTTGCCCTAGATGGCAGTCAAGAGCTATGGTTTCACCTTTTGCTGGAGACGTTTGAGAATCCCCTAATTTACCAGTCTGCTCTACCAGGCAAACAGCTTACAAGAAATCACATGGCCATTGGTAAAGCGCCCAAAAAAAAAACCACCAACTACCAGGGGCGCTGTTACACTGCCTTAAAGGCTTTATCACAGACCAGGGTTGTAATGTTTGTTAAGCTGACATAAGATCAGTTTCTGTTCGCCCAATTTTGCTCTCCGAAGTTAAAAACAGACACCAGATCAGCATTTGAGTATAGCCTTTGTTCATAAGACTGGGACTTCCCTCAACAGGTCATGTGTTGTGTGTTTGATTAGGTTTTCTTTTTTATGTATGATTAACTGAGGAAACCACACATTAACTGCTTGATGCCTGGAAGAAATCTGACAGACTGCAGTAAATGTTGCAACTGCCACACTCCCCGAGGGATATTAGGGGATTCACAAAATGAGAGTGGGGGTTTACCTGCTATGAAACTATTTGGCAATTACTGCATAGTTGAAAATAAATGGTGACATTTACCTCAAGGAAAACAGTATATCCGTAATATGTGACACATCCAAATCATTTTATTCTCCAAAATCAGTAATTAAACATGATTTTTTTCCGACTGTAATAGTCTTCCTTTGTCAGCTCTATTCTATGCAAACACATTAATCAAACATGTCAAACAAAATCAGATGAGCGGTGGAAAAGAAGCTACATCGGTGTCGTTTCTGTTGTGCTTTATGCTGCATCAGTTCCTTTATTACTTTTGGTTTAAAGAAGAGAAGAGAAGCAAGTATTATATTACAGTGAAGCTAATCTGTCAAATTACTTATTTTCTTCTCAAAATGATTCACTTTTGATTTGCAGTTCTTCTGTGTTGTTGCTGGTGGTTATTGTACCAACCAACGGAAGTGTTTCAGGGACAGAAAATACAACACACAATATACATTAGGCTTAAAGTTAGTTCTTTGATTCGGTTGCACACCTGACCTATTTATGACTCGTCAACTGAAGCAGTTGTGGCAGTAAACCGATTTTCAGTGGTGGAAAGTACATTTTCTCAAGTAGGTCTCACTATACTGAAGTACAATTTTGATGTACAGTTTATGCTCCTTTTATATTTCTACTGCACTACATTTATAGTATTGGTACTATTTACTTTACAGATTAAGATTTTACATTAAGAAAACATATACATAATCGTATTAGATACAATACATTATTAAGGATTAAACCAAGTGATTCCAGCCTTTTTACTGTGACCCCTTACAATACAACAGTATTTAGCTACGATCCATAAAATCTCATCTTCCAGAAGTTAATTAAGCTAATTACACACAAATGCATCAATATTAACAATCTAACAATGTCCTGTGAAATAATATATCAGTCCCTGGGGCAAAACAAATGTTTTTACTTTGATACTTTTATTTAAGTAGGATTTTGAATGACAGACTTGTAATGGAGTATTTTTACACTTCTGTATTTGTACTTTTACTGAAGTAAAGGATAACACTTCCCTTCCCAGGCCCCTTGGTACTGATAAAAACAAATTTCCAAAGGCCTGGTGGAAGGAAAGGATATACTGTGATTGAAACAAACAATTCTGATTAACACAAAAGTCAGTGTATCTCCATCAACAGCCACATGTCCTGTCAAGTGTCCTCAATGAAGGCCACCAAACCAAAACTACTAATTGTTGCTCTGGAAGGGATTGTCAGTCAAATGCCTAAATATTAATGTAGACAGATTGTGGCAGATCTATTGTATCATATCCAGTAAACCACTGTGACAACAGAACACAAGCTACATACCTAAAAGGTAAAAGAATGTAAAAACAAGAATGCTTTTGATCACAAGGGCTTGGCTATGGTTTGGCTGAGTCAGTCAGTTAGTGAACACACAACAATGCAATAAAGAAAGAAAGTGAAAGAAAGAAGCGAAGGGACTTTCCAGTTTAGGCGTGTGGTGCAGTGGTATGGTGCAGAGCAGGTTTGGCAAAAGACATCAGTACATCCAAACACATATGCAGTATATATAGTTTCCCACTGAGGTCTGAGGATGCACATGACTGTTTTCTATTACACCATAGTGATAGACACAGCCCCAGGGTCACCATATTATCTTTTATTTGCCTTAATATCCCACATTTGTATACTTTCTATGCACGCTGTCGGACATTTTGTGTTTAGGTTTTGCATCGTCTCACCCTAAGATGGCCGCAGCTTTTGGCTTTTCCACTTTGCGCCCTCGTGCCTCTGTAAGCCGCAGGCGGAACACAATCACTGATGGGAAGCAGCCAAGTTTACTGATGAGTCACTCTGCCTGATTTTAACCGTGTGTGTCAAATGTCAGGTTGTTGAGAATAATGAGAAAGACGTTTCTTTTTGTCTGGACCTCCACACATTTTATTAATTCCTCCAGGGAACGTTTTAATAAGCACCAACGGTAAACAGTAGACCAAGTTTCACCCACAAAGGAGGATATAATCTTTCAGTTAATGTTAAAGCATGAAAAAGTTCATCTAAAGTTAGGAGACATTTAATATAACAACAGAAATATGTAGGGTATAACATTGTAAGACATGCAAGCAACTGTTACATATAACATATATAACAGGTACTTCTATTTAGCCATTAAGCACATTTCTGTTCTTTTTCCTATTTTTTGTCATTTCAGAAGCTGTTCCCCTCGTTCCACTGTAGTTGACCTCAGTGTGTCAATCTGATGCCCTCACCCACCAACACACCTGTTCCCCATTCCCTCATTATTTCCCTTGCAAATCTACCAGCCCTCTTTTCTCAGTCATGTGCCCAATCATATGATGTTCTACTCCACTCTACCAGTGGTCCTGTTTCTTGCCTGCCTCTTCCCCTTGCATGCTTAGTTTTCCCTCGCTGACTGAATGCCTGTTGTCATACTCTGCTTCGAGCTCTTGCCAAGCAAACAACTGATAGCTTTAAAACGATCGGCTGATTTCCACATCTCTGTGTTGAGAACAGCTACAGTTATGTAGTCAAACACTTTTTGAAAATGTGAACATGTTTTTAATATATTGGTGCAATATCCTCATGAAATCTTTTCAGGATACAAGTACAAATCATGCAGTCATTAAAATCCTGGAGAAACAAAAGCCTAACTTGTCGAAGGCACGTGACTTCAGTCACCATTTTGTGGATGCACAATTTTCCTTGACA